CGGCCACCCTTCTTTGAAGAAATGGAAAAAGATTGCCAGTTGTGGAAACTCGGGAATTTGCTCAGCCACTTTACTAGCAATAAATTCGAGTCCATCTTTGTACTTTTCTTCTGTACATAGATCTAGAGTCCATGAGTATTGAAGGATCTCAATGGGAGCATTTCCCAAGCCACTTCTCACCCATAAATCACTGACATACTGTAAAAATGGTCGGAAAAAATTATTTAAAGAAATCAAGCGTACGGAAAACTTCTTGAAAACATTCCCATACCCTCACAAAGTCGAGCCACAGTATCCTGGTAACAACACTTAGAAGGACGGCGCGTACAGCTGGAGCAATTGTTTCATTGGTGAACACCGTGTTTACTTGCTTCAGTGCCGGTGCTAGACTCATAATATGGTTCAATATTTCTTCGTAAAGCTCTTGAGGGGATCCACTCAAATAGACAATGACAGCGCCGTAAGTCTGGAATTTTAAACAGATCATATGTATCACGCGATCGAATATTTTCACGTCGTTCTTAAAAAATATGAATTTCAAACATTTCAATTTACCGAAACGATTAAACCTCTGGTCCTGACCAGATGCAGAATCATTAACTCCTCTCCAGGATTCGAGGATTTCGTATATAATGTATGATGTATTTTTCATTGGGGCAAAGTGTTGGATCGCACTTAGCACGCTGACTGAGTCTGAAAGGATGAGAGATTCATCGATTCCTAGATTGATTATGGTTTTCAGCTTCTGCAGTAAATATAGAGGCGTAGGATGATATCCTATGTTTTGAGGATATACATAGACCACTCGGGCATAAACTTCGTTTTCGTGAGAAGACCCGGTAAACCGCGATTCTAACCTCGCTTCGCTCGGTTTGATCGCGGTTTACGGGCCTTCTGACGAAAAATTGCATTCATCACACGGTCCAAAAGTATTTTCTGACGAATGTGGCTTTGTAGATCGAGCCGAAGGCGAGGCCTATAATCACATTTGTCAGAAAATACTTTTGGACCGTGTGATGAATACAATTTTTCGTCAGAAGGCCCGTAAACCGCGATCAAACCGAGCGAAGCGAGGTTAGAATCGCGGTTTACCGGGTCTTCTCACGAAAACGAAATTTGTGCCCTTGTACTCTAATGTACTAAAATTTTAATTTTTTAAAGTCAGTTAAAACAAGCAGGCGACCGACCCTATTCGACAGAAGACTTGTGACACC